GTAACACTTCTCAGCACCTTTGTCATAAGAACAGCCCTACTGGGTCAGACCAATGCTCCACCTAGCCCAGCATCCTGTCTTTTGACAGTGGCCAGTTCCTAACGCTTCAGAGGGAATGAGGGATAGTAGAACAGTATTCAGCAGGATTGTTAGGGTTAGGACTCTGGCTTGAGGCACTCATCATGTTCTCCCAGGCTTGAGCTAAAGCAAACAGAAAACAATAAATGTGAATGTACATCTAAGTACGCAACACTCCAAGATGATGGGTAAATTCACAGCTCCAATAGCTCTGGGCTTTTCCACCTACCCTGGGCAATCTCTTCTTACTTTGATTAAAAACAGAGAGGACTTACACAGTGAAATTGTGATTAAAGAACAAAATACATGGAAAGACTATTGGTGTTCTGTGATAAGAACCTCAGCTTACATGGAAGTGTATTCCAAAACTGTTAGCTATATATTTTGGTGTTAGTGGCACTTAGTTCCTTATCCATCATTTTGTCATCTCCTTAGAGGATCTGAAAAATCAATTTTTATTTATACACTACCAGAGGGTTATATGACGTTCTACAGACAGGCAAAAGTCTCACTCTTTACCCCAAAGATTTTGCAATCTAGGTTACACAACACCAGGGCAACAGATTTACTTTTGCAAATGAGTACAGTACATTGTATTTTTTTATATCCAGAATAAACCAGTCTACCTTAACACCTTATTTTTCAAACTATGAAGAAGTTTGTGTGCTGTGAACTTTTGAAGACATGGCCTGAACTTTAACTCAATCCAAAAAACCCACATGATTTTTAGTTTAAATACAACACACACCACTTTTAATTCAACAATGTCAGTCAGAGAACAAGCTCTTCTCTTTTAGTCAGAGAACACTGCAGAACTGGATCTCAATTGAGCTATTTATTTGGTTGTCTATATAGGCAAAAGCATATAAAAAGGTGTGCAGCAAGATAACCATGCGATTCACACGCGCAGCAGAGCACACCGCCCCTTCAAATAAACGAATGTGTTACAAATAAATGAATGTGTTACAAATAAATATATTCAAATAATAACACATATGCATCAAGGTACCCAAGGAATCCGGTGGCACCTTAAAGATGAATAGATTATTTAACAAAGAAGTCTGTTCATCTTTAAGGTGCCGCCGGACTCCTCATTGTTTTTGTGGATACAGACTAACACGGCTACCCCGCTGATACAAGGTACCCGAGGTCTCTCCAGAGCAGCCACAGGTACCTAGACCAATCACATACTCTATTCAAAAAAACATTTGTGAAGCTTTTAGACTCCTTTGTGATGAAAGGTGCTAGATAAACTAAGCTATATATGAACATCTTTAACCACAGAAAAGCAAATAGGACATCAAAGAAAACTTATATCAACTTATAAACACAATGCAGAGCCAGTGAAAGGATTTTGAGCCCTTTAGGACATTTCAATTTGATGAGAAAGGGCAGATTCAACAATTTTTAAAAAGCAATTCAGTGTCAATACAGAGTCCGGAGGGAGACTTAAAACAAAGGAAACAGATATCCTTAGGATCGCCTTCTTGGGATACCTAGAGCAGTTTTGTTTCAATCTTCTCTCCTTCACTTCATCACAGCCTGTGTCAGTTCAGAAATAGCTATCAACTAGAAACACCTTCTCAGGCAAAGATGGCATCAGGAACCGGAAATAAGCACATACTTAATGGATGTCTATGGATGAGCACTATTAAACAAAAAATAGTGAAATAGAAATCCAATTCAGCAACCAAGTGAAATAACTACATCCAAAGTATAATCCATACAAGTGCAAAGAATGACTAACCCGAAATGCACTGAATGACAAAAGTCTGGAACTGCCCTGAATTACAAAAATCTGGAACTGCACGGAAACTGATTGGATCAGGTAAGATTAGATCTGGTCAAATGAACTGACAGGCAACTGACTAGCAAAAGGAAATCATCATTACAAAGCACTGCAGATGGACAGAAACACAGATGACAAGTTGGCCCAGCAGCAGATACATGCTAGTATGCAGGCAATGCTTTCCCTATAATAAAACAAGCAGTGGTGTCACTATTGTCTACCACTAATGTGTATCAGTGCTGGCAACAGAACAGAAAAGCTTTTAAAAGGAAATCATTGTAACGTGATCAATTTTGTTATACCTCTTTACAAGAACGTTTGGTTTCAACTAAAATATTTTCAGGTTTCTCTCTTCTCCAAAACAAAAACAAATCCCACTCCTAACCAAATGGAGCCAGCAGTCTCTGGCCAAACACATGCATACTTCATTGTTCTTGTTCGGTTCATTCTGAAATGTATTAATTTCTATCTAAAATGTAACACTTCTCAGCACCTTTGTCATAAGAACAGCCCTACTGGGTCAGACCAATGCTCCACCTAGCCCAGCATCCTGTCTTTTGACAGTGGCCAGTTCCTAACGCTTCAGAGGGAATGAACAGAACAGGGCAATTATCGACTGATCCATCCCCTGTCCCAGCTTCTGGCTGTCAGAGGCTTAGGAACACCCAAAGCAGGGGGCTGCATCCCTGACCATCTTGGCTAAAAGCCATTGCTCGACCTCTCCTCCAGGAAATTATCTACAGTAATTCTTTTTTGAACCCAATCATACTTTTGGGCTTCACAACATCTCCTGGCACCAAATTCCACAGGTTGACTGCATCGTGTGAAGTACTTCCTTATGTTGGTTTTAAACCTGCTGCCTAACGATTTAATTGGGTGACCTGTGAGGCAGGATGGGAGAAGACAACCTGGGTCTTGCGGCTGGCCCCCTACCTGGCCAGCAAAGCCCAAGTGGCCTATATGGCCCTAAGTGAGAAACAGGCCAGGAGATATGACGCAGTAAGGGCAGCCGTCCTAGATCGGGTGGGGCTGTCCGCCGAGGTTCCGGGCGGCGAGGTGGACACAGGGTTTGCAGTCCTGGGCATTCACCCAGTAGTTAATGGACTGGGCCACCCGATGGCTGAGACCTGAGGCCCAGACAGAGGGGGAGATCATGGGCATGCTCATCCTAGAACAGTTTTTACATGGCCTCCCCGAGAACATAAGGGTATGGCTGAGACGACACCAATCCAGTAGGGTAGAGGCAGCAGTAAAACTGATGGAGGAGTATACAGAGGCAGACTTCCCCAGGAAAGAGGACACCCATATAAGGAAGAAGAAACCAGGAGAAAAGCCAGGGAACCCCCGACCAGGAAGGGTCCGGATTAAAAATGGGAGAACAACCAGGGAGCTCCCAATGGGACTAGGCCGCTCATCTGCTGGCAGTGCAGGTGACCGGGACATAAAAAGGGGGACTGCCCGGACATGGAATGTGGCTTTGCAGAGATTTGTGGGTGGACCAACTTTGGAGGATAGGGGAAGGGGCGGAAACTGTCCGCCATTCCCATGATGGTGGGGAGGAGACCCCAGTGAGGTCTGGTGGATACGGCCTCACCCTGTTCTCTTGTAAGCAGGGGGCTGGTGAAGCTGCAATGGATGATTCCCAGCGCCGAAGTGAATTTGGAGAGCATCCATGGGGATGAGAGGCAGTGCCCAATGGTCCAGGTGCCCCTTGAGGTCCGGGACAGGTTCCGTTGGAAACGGGTTGAGGTAGTAGAGAGCCTGCCATACCCAATGGTGGTGGGCACCAACTGGGACCCCTGCCTAAGAGGTAAAGCAGGTCAGGGAGGAAGGCCCAAGGTAGGAAAAGGGGGAGACCCCTTGAGGAAGAGGGAAGAGATCTCTGAAGCAGAAAAACCCTAGACAACAGAGCCTGAGTCAGGAAGGACTGGAGAAGGAAAGAAGAGAGGCAGTATCCGCCCCATGGCCCTCAGCGGAGCCAAAGAGCCTAACAGAACTCCCTGTAAGGGGACCCCCGAAAGATGAGACCCAGGCCCCGCTTGACGGGTTTTTGGGAACCTGAAGTCCTGGTTGTCCAGGGGAAAGCTGGGATCAACCTCGAGCCCCTCTCAGAGGCAAAAGGAGAAAAGAAAGGGGGACACTCCTGGGGGTATGAATGGTGAGAGGACCTGTGGGTGGCGGCAGAGCTATGGAAGCGTCCACCCCCCACACAATGGCTTCTGCAGGTGGGGGATGGCTGAACCCCACAAAGAAGACCCGGCAGGTCACTGGAAAGATGAGGGAGGACTCCCCCATATGGCCCCGCCCAGTAGGGGGCAAAGAGGACTTGGATGGGTGAACCTGGCAGTTGAAGAAGAGGGGGGCGTGTGTGACAGGGTGCTGGGCAAGAACTACTGACTCAGCCCTCTGTCACACCAGCTCCTAATAAGGGAAGTAAACTGGGGCTGGCCAGAGAAAACCTGCACCTAAATGGTGAATGGGAGTCAGCTGCCTGTCCAATTAGCCGGGGGCTGGGAGGAAGGAAGGCGGGGGGGGGGAGAGCGAGGGAGTGGAAGCAGAGCGATAGCTCTTCTCTCCTGGGTGCAGACACTAGAATCCAAGCTGTGTATGGTGAAAAGGTGGTGGAAGCACAACCTCTCATAAACGGCACCAGTGGTTACTGAAACCCAGGGTCTCCGAGTGACTTTGTCAGCACAGCAGGGGCAGGAGCTACAAGTGGTAACAGCTAATTTAGAACCCGTCATTTTGCATGTATAGTTGGGATTATGTTTTCCAATGTGCATTACTTTGCACTTATCACCACTGAATTTCATCTGTTGTTTTGTTGCCAGTCACACAGTTTTACGAGATCCCTTTTTAACTCTTCACAGTCAGCTTTGGATTTAATTATCCTGAGTAATTTTGTATTGTCTGCCAATTTTGCAGCCTCACTGTTACCCCCCTTTTCTAGCTCATTTATGAATATGTTAAGCAGCACCGGTCCCAGTAGAGATCCTTAGGGGACCCAGTTACTTACCTCCCTCCACTGTGAAAACGGACCCTTTATTCCTACCTTTGTTTCCTGTCTTTTAACCAGTTACTGATCCACGAGAGAACCTTCCCTCTTATCGCAGGACTGCTTACTTTGCTTAAGAGCTTTTGGTGTGGCACCTTGTCAAAGGCTTTCTGAAAATCCATGTACACTATATCAACTGGATCACCTTTGTCCACATAATTGTTGACCCCTCAAAGCATTCTAATACATTTGTAAGGCATGATTTCCCTTTACAAAAGCCACGTTGACTCATCCCCAATATATCGTGTTCATCTACGTGTCTGATAATTCATCAAAACCAATGTCATATTTGTGCCTACCTTTAATTCCTAGTTACTGTAAACTACAATTTCTTATCATGCTGCTTATAGCCACCAGTGGAAGATGTTGATATTTAGCACTTAATATTTTTTCAAATTGCTTCACAAACATTAATTAAGCTTTAACGCTCCTCTGAGATAGATAAAAATTATTCCCATTTAACAGCTCTGGAATCTTCCCAAAAATTTTGAATGCCACACTTGAACAGCTGAAGTCAATGGGACCTCCAGGTGTATTCAGGCCCTCTGAACAATCAAGCTCTAGGTGAAGTGTCAATGGGGAACACAAAAATCAAGGCATCCCAAAATGAGTGGACACTTCTGAAAACCCTGGCCTCAGTAATTTCAGAGACTGACAGATTATAAAGCCAGAAGGGACCACCGTCTGTCTTCCTGCATAACACAGGCCATAATACTTCCCTAAATTAATTCCTGTTTAAACTACGGGATTTATTTTAGAAAAACATCCAATCTTGATTCTAAAATGCATTGTGATAAAGAATTCACCACAAGCGTTTGGAACATCTTACCGTGGTTAATCACCCGCACTGTTGAAAAACTGAATCTTATTTCTAGTCTATATTTTGCTATCTTCAACTTCCAGCCACTGGATCCTGTTACACTTATGCCTCTTAGAGTGAAGATCCTATTATCCAATTTGTGTTCCTATGTACATCTTTAGACTGTGCTTAAGTCACCCCTTAACCTTATTTTTTGATAAACTTGATTGAGTTCCTTGAGTCTATCACTATAAGGAATATTTTCCAATCCTTTAATTGTTTTCATGGCTCTTCTTTGAAACCTCACCAATGTTTCAACATCCTTCTTGAATTGTGGATACCAGAATTGGACACAGTATTCCAGTTGTAGTAGCACCAGTGTCACATACAGAGGTAATATAAACTGCCCCACATCTATTCAATAGTCCTGTTTATACATCCAAGGATTGCATTAGCCCTTTTGGTCCCAGCATCTCCCTCAGAGCTCATGTTCTGCCCGTAATTTGCCTGGACCCAGATCAGAACACAAGAGTTATTTAATTGTGCCTATACCTCAGGAGTTTTTCCTGTACACAATCCATTAGACCAGGCCTCCTTCTCTGACATGAAGTAGTTAACAATAGTGATGTTATTTAATAGGTCAGCTAATAAGAAATGAAGTAGCATCCTCTTGTGAACTAAGATTACTTTCATGATTTCCCTATAGTATGTAGTCTAGAAAGGGACACAAATGTGGGTTTCTTCCCTTTGGTCTCCTGTATGAGAGGGTAACAGGTCAGCCATTTGTTAAGAAAACAAGCAGAGCAAGCTTCCATACTTTCCTCCGTACAAAACAAATTTTCTGAAATCCAAGCGGGGTGCTTTATGAAATAAACTCTTAATCTTTCTGCAACCTTACCTGCTTTTTAGGTTTCACTAATTACGTGTGGTACAAAAGTCCCCAAGTCTCACAAGGATTTGAAGTTGACTTCTCTAGAGCCTTTGCATTTTTAAATATTTGCCAGCAAGAATATAGTGTTTTCAATAGGCTAGGCATACTGCAGCCACTGACCAACACAAAGCCAGTAAAACTTTGTATTTAGTCCCTATCTTTCTACTTACCATTCATTAGTACTGAATGACAGATTACACACACTCTGGCTTCTTTTCTGTCCATGTACAGCAACTTGCATTTCAGACTGCAGCATGCTGCACAGAAAACCTGGAGCAAAAGAAAAAACATATTGAATCACTCAATGTTTCATGATAAGAGTAATTTAAATAGATTAATTCAGATACTGAATACATTAGAAGGTGCAAAATTAGAAAGGAAATTATCGATAATCCTCCAACAGCGTCACAGTGAAATTGATTAAGATCAAATGACCTAGTGTCAAGTCTCATTTAATCCTACTGGAGTAAGCGCTATCTGCAATAATACAAATGTGCACACTCCCCACAGGAGTAATTTAAAAATGCAGGTTTGAGATAATGGCTAATGGACCAGGAAAATCATATATGGAATCCCATAGTGGCCACCTTTACAGCTCTCTGGAATGAATGATGTTTAAAACACAACACTGGGAAAGTGCTCAAGCCGTTTCTCTGGTCACTTAAATCAAAGCCAAAACTGGATTGGGGGGGGGGGGGGAGAGAAGAGGATCTGTGAGATACATTTCAGAAGAAAGGACAGCCATTTTGTCTCTACTCTTGAGACCTGCACTGTTGTAACTCTCAGTAGTTCAAATGTACAAGACTCATCCCACACCACACTGGTTGCTAAAGGGGAACACTGCATGACTTGTGCTGGAAGGACCAACTAGAATGCTGTAGCTTCATTGCCAGTACTTTCCACCTGCACCAGGACTAACAGCTCAGTGACCCCAGGCAGCGTGCTACAAGAAAGTGCAATTGTAACAACAATGGCAATGCCTGTGCACCATTACAAACATTTGTATGGAGACATGAGGTACTTTACCTATGTGGCAATGCAGTGGTGCCTGTAATGCCCGAATTCTCCAGTGCAGACAAGATTCTGACCAGTCTATCTTAAGGTTTACAATATGTATTTAAATAAAAAGTCAATATTTTCCCCTATGTGTCCTAGGGATTTTGTTCAGGTGGCATATGAAGCCACTGATGAGTGCATGAGTTTCATGCAGAAAAACAGCTTAAAGCATATGAAATTTAGACGCATCAGACACTATGCTGTAAACTCCCTCCGAAAGTCAAGTCAGAATTTTAGATTTCAACCCAACGTAGTTTCAATTTTATTTGGTTTTCATATGCATAATTAACAGTGTATCTTTCTTTTAATTTTCATAGCCCTTCATGTAATCCTATACTGTTTTCCTACCCCAACTGCAACATTTCTAAATCTTGCACATTTTAAAACTACATACAAAGCCCAGTCTATACTACAAGTGAGTCAAAGTACTCTGTTCCAACAGTTAAACATAATAATGTCTGTCTACCTCCTAGCCCAGTTAAAATGACACAGTTTGGTTCAGTGTGCACTAAAAATGTTGGCCATATTGTAACAAGGGGCATCCATTTTGTAAATAAGTCCTGTAACAATGTTGTAATTTGTAACGTAGAGATGAGGCCCAAGCCTGAGACACGATTTTAGCATACAAACGATGAGAGCTGGAATAACAATTTTGTCACCTGGATGATCTCATCTAATGGTGTGTAAATTGTAACATTTCCTTTTCTAATTATGTCAGCTATACTTTACCAGCTTTTAAAGCAATATTACCAGCACTGGTTTCTGAGTAATTTATTTTGAGATATTGTGCTTCATTTCAATTCTCAGGGAAGCCTATCCACTGGAAAATTCAGTTCAGATTTAAACTAGGAGGACAATTACAGAACATGGAAAAATCAATGTCCTCAACCACAGACCAAAGGACTAAACTAATTAATTTCTCATTCAGGACCCTTTGAAGAAGATTACAGTCTGCATTTAACAAGGCTTTTCAAGCACAATGATTTCTATGATCTAAATACTAAACAGAAATATATAGTAGAATGACAAAACGTTAACACCTGTTCTCATTGGCATCTTTAACTTTGTAGTAGGTGGAATGCAGGTGTTGTATATAATCAAATATAAACAATATTTGAGGTGAAAGTGAAGTGTGCTTTCCTGTTTTTCGGCAATATATATATATATTTTTATTTGAAAGCAACTGTCAAGCAATTAGTATTTCACATAGCAGAAAATGGCAGCTTGTCTAAATGCAGCAAGCTTACACAGTGCAGTTACAAGGTTTTATGTTTGTTTTTGTTTTACTACTTAGTGCAAGGAGAATCACTAGTTTAGCTTACAGAACAGAATTGTCACATACAAATATTCCACTTGTTCTACATAAGGATATCACAGGTGACCACTACAGATGACAATGGAAAATACATATACAAAATATAAACAATTAAAATGAATAGTTTCCCCTAAAATATATCATCACTTTTCAAGTTCTTAAGTTTAAAACAAAGTTTGGTAAACATGCATATTTAATTTCGGCCATCTCCCTGATGTTCAATGGCTCACACTGATTTTGTCAATTACTACACAAATTAAAACAGCAACGCTTTCTCCAGGTGCCATCCAACTATTTTTAAATGCAGTTTTTATTCTTAGGACTTTTTGGCCACAATTATTAGTTTTAAGGGAAACTGTTGTGTTACAATTCAGATTCAGAATCTCTTCGATTATTAACACTGAACATTTTAAAAATCTACATTTTTTTGCCCCTTATGCGGTCTATTTAGCTATGTATTTCTGTTTACCCTTCCGTCATTTTCATTTTTTGTTTCTCATTCAGCAACAATAAACTAGTCTGAGAGTTTAAGGCTAGAAGGGACCACCAGATCATCTGTTCTGGCCTCCTGTACATCACAAGCCACTAAATACTACACAGCCACCACACACCAAACCCAAGTACCAGAATTAGACCAAAATATTACAGCCTTCAGAAGACTAAATGACTGTGTGCCACAGGCAGAGAACAGGAGGGGCCAAAGGGCATCAATACCACTTCTAAAACTTGGGTTTCAAGGAGAATGATTCAGTTCAAACCAAAGAGCTGGTTTTCTTTAAAACACCCTCCCAAAGCTTGTAGTCATTTGGTAAACTCACAAAAAACTAAAATATGGCCTAGCTACTTGACAGTGACCCTTTAAATAAGTGACAGCTAAAATCAAATACCAGTGAGAGGCCTTATCCTATTTCCACTGACATGGATTAAAAATTCTCATTGATTTTGGTAGGAGTAGAATTGGGCATTTAAATACATCAATAATTGAAAGATGCACTACATTTAGGGATTTAAACTATATGGTAGAAGTAGATAGTGACTATATTACTTATTTTTCATTATTTATTGCTTAATTTAGTATTGGTGGATTTCAATATTATTTGTATTAGTAAGAGTGTTTATTCCAAAAGAGTGCTTACCAGTCAGAACTATCATGAGAAGAATTTTTCGTCAAGTCTCAAAATAAAGAGAACATGGAACAAATGCAAAAATATGAATGTGAACCCACTTAACTAGTAATTTGATTAACAATCCTTTCACTTAATTGGACAATTGCCAAGAGAACAGATTCAGTGTTATGTATTTTAGTTATTAAGAAAGACAAATGTCATACCTAGACAGCTATATGGGACACTTAATGTTTTCTGCAAGTCTCCTTCCTGGAGCAGACCGATATGAATCTCTGTTTGCTGAATTTGATTCTTTTAGGTTGTCTGTTCATGTCATTCTGCTTCTCTGCGCTATTCTGGCAGCTAAAGATCTGATCCAAAGCCCAGAGAAGTCATTTGACTTCACAGGGCTTTGGACTGGACCCTAAATGAACCAAATTTACCTTAATATGTTTATTTTAAAAATGCACGAATGTTCCATGTTCATCTTATTTTTAAAGTAATTCATGAATGTTTGCCAGCCTAGTGTTTTTTAAATTAATTTTGAATAATCTGATTGAGACACTGCACCCCATATTCTTCAGATAGTATGATATGATTATGAAATAGTTATGATGCATTTTATGCAAGATATGTCATGTGAGATGTCATAGAAAATGTTATGATTTGCTGAATAAGATTATCCTATTTGTATGCATGTATCATTTTTGTATCTGAAATTATGAATATTAACTATGTTTCTGTATTTCAAATGTAGTTACATCTGGGTAACGCCCACTGGACAAGATGCTTTCAGTCTAGATAGCTGGGTGGGGAAGGGCCTATTAAGGTCAATGAGCCATTAGTAAAAAACAACAGGCCTTAGGAGAAGCTTATCTCCCACCTGGGGAGCCTTCCTGAGAACGCTACAGACAGCCTCCAAGTAATGGCTGCTATGACTCTACAAAGATGTGATGTGACAACATGTCTCTAGACTCCATCTTGGAATGGCAGCGTTTTTCCCACAGACCAGTCGGGGAACCCAGCTTTGAAACAAAGGGTTCACACCATATGCAAAAGCTATATAAGGCAGGGAGTGACATCATCGGGTGTTCTTCACTCCCCACACAAGAAAACCCCTGGAAAAGCCTGAGGAACAAAGACTGAACTGGGGGAAGTGCTGGACCCAGGCTAAAGGGATTTTTAGCCTGTGAATGGAACACCTGGGATTCCAAGCTGTATAGCAAGTGCAGCTTGCCCCTTAACAATCTGTAGCCTGCTTGTATCATCTTAGGGTGAGAATCTGCTATTCATATCCAATCTAATTAGTATATTAAACTTAGTTTGCGGTTGTTGTTTATTTGCTAGGTAATCTGTTTTGATCTGTTTGCTATCACTTAAAATCTATCTTTTGTAGTTAATAAACTTGGTTTTGCTTTATCTAAACCAGTGTGTGGAAATCATAACTCAGGGGCAAAAGGCTGTTGCATATTCCTCTCCACATTGAGGGAGGGGGCGAATTTTATGAGCTTACGCTGTACAGTTCCCTGTGCAGCGCAAGGTGGTATAATTTTGGGTTTATACTCCAGAGGGGGTGCGTGCCTGAAGAGCTGGGAGTAGCTTTCCCATGCAGGGGCTGGTCAGAGAGTCTGCTTGTAACTACAGCCAGGTGTGTCCATACCTGTATGTATGCTGGTGAAAGTGCAGTCTGGAGGACTTTGTAGCTTGTCACAGCAATACAGTGTGAGAGGGAGCCTAGGCTGGTGGGTCAACGGGCTCAGTGGTACCCCAGTTCCAGGTGCCACCCCAGGGGGAACCCATCACACTGATCAATTAGTTTTAGATTTTCTGTTTGCAGTGGTGTGTGCCATTTACTTATACTTCAACAAAATATTTACAAATATTTTATGAACGGTTTTATCACAAAAATGCCATATTTGCATTTAAACTAATACAGCCCTATCTAATTTATATGGTGTATAGCTAAAGATAAGTTCTTACTAAGAAATAAACTTACTTATAATATTCAAAGAAACATTCCTCATACAATAAAAATACATTTAAAAATTACATTTAATTGACCTTCCCACATAATTCCTCTTAATAACCATATCAACACGCACCTATCCATCAAATTTGGGAGAATCTTATTATAGTCAATACACTTTTTCAAAAGCAAGGATATATTCTGGTAAATACTGGAGGTAGCATGTACAAAACGAGTAAAGGGGACATGAAAGACTGAAGATAGTCAGCTATGTTAACCAGCAGAAAAACTGGCAGTTCAATAGCTCACTTCCCATCCCCATCAACAGGTTTCAGTGTTGTTAATGGAAATTATTGATGCAGTGATTTTTGAAAATTAGTTTCCTGCACTTAGTTATTTTATAGCAGTCCTACATGAATTCAATATCTGTTAATGGCTACAATCAACTAACAAACTGCTTTTAAAGGATAATCGTTCTTATCATCATGAATAACCAATAGTTATTCTCTATTAAAGTAATGTGAACAATGAAGAATAGGTGAGAGCACCTACTAACTAAATCAAATGGACTATGCTACTGTGCTTTAGACAGATGTCAGAGGCAATGGTAGCCAGCGGCTTGTGTGGTTAGCTGATAGATATATATATAGATATAGATATTTATAGCTATATAGATATAAATATATATAGTGTGTGTGTGTGTGTGTGACTGTGCGCACGCGAAAGAGAGAGAGATTGAGAGTGCACGAGAGAGTGATTACAAATAAGGGAACACAAGGCTTTGTCACTGAATATGAACTTACCTTCCCACATGCTCTGCAATGATGCCTCCTTTTGGTGAATGTAAATCTGGCCTCACATTTCATGCAGTTTGGTGCTTGAGAATCTGGAACCCAAACTGGAGCCACCTCACCTAAAGTAGTAAATGGCTTTCTGGTGGGAGCTCCAAACTGACCAGCTCTGAGATCATTATCTGGACTATCTGGGGCTACTGCAAGGCACGGACTACTAGAGACCCCAGACTCATACTCTTCTAAATGTTCCCCAGTGGTATCAGCAATGGAGGCATTTAACGATTTCTCATCAGGAAACATATCTGCTGCCAAGGTTTCCCCTATTTTTGCTTTACCAAAGACATCATTTTTATTTTTAGTATTACCTCCACAGTTTGGGGGAACAAGGTCGTTTTGTAAATGGTCCGATAATGGCTTTGGAATTTGCAATTTAAGATTTGTAGGTTGTTTGGGTCTTGCACCACCAAATGGAACACTGATAGGTTGCAGGTTAGTTACTGTTTTTGGTAATGTTTGCCCGTGCAGAGATGGTACCTGACTGCAGAGACTATGTACATAATTTTTCTTCATTTGGTCACCAGTGCTGTTTAAAATGAGACCACTCCCATCAGCAGCCTCATTTCCTCTTTGTTCATAAACATTAGTGTAACATTCTGACTTGCTCTCCTCTATCTCCTTTTCCTCTGTCACTGAGTCTTCCTTGGAGGGTAAAGTCTTTGGAATATGAGCAACAATTGGGTTCTGCATTCCATAGGAATCACAACCATTAGACAGAGAGCTTGCTGCTGATGTACCCATAACATCAGAGAGACTGGACCCTTCGAGCTCATCTATATAAATCCCCTTTATGTCCATGCCTGCTTCCATCATCCCATCTCCATCTTTCCCACTATCACTACAAGCCGCCTCAGGCTCTTTCATCTGCAAAAGTCTTTCATTCTCGCCATGAGTTTGCTTATTATTCAGTTTAGTCAATTCCCAATTAGTCATCTCCTGAGATTCAGGGAAACACTCTGCCCCACTGAGCGATTCAGTTGTGCTGAGAATTTTGTCACATTCACTGACTTCACTTTCCACACCACTAACATCCTCAGAAGTAATACGTTCTTCAAAGCGTTCACTGTAATTGCCACTTTCAGACATATTAGGCTGACAAGTTTGAGAGAGCACAGGTAGCCCAGATTGATACAGTTGAGATGTTTGTTCTTCTACAGTTTCCTCTATCATGAAACTTCCATTACTTGAACTAGGAGAAGAATTTTTAGCTTCCAGATCTTTTCTTTGAGTAATTGCTCTGCTAATAAAATCCTCAACTGATGCACAACTCTCTTGTGTTTTAACAGTACCATCAGCTGGTCTCTGCAATAAGGTCACTGCATTAATCCCTGCAATTGTAGACTCTGAGAACAGAGAGTCTCTATTAATATTAAAATCATCCTTTAATCGATGGGGGAGGCATGCATTGGACAGACTATCAGATGAAGTATTAATCAAATGGCTAACAGAGTCAGCCTCAGCATACAGCCGATCTAACTGTACTCCTTGCTTTTCTGTATCTGTATCTTTTTCAGTGGATCCATTTACAGTAACACCAAACTGATCATTCTGTCGGTTTTCATTATCCAGTGTAAAGCTAATAGTGTCCATTAAGGACTGAGTGCTGTAATTTTTACAATCCAGCAAATTGCCACTTTGTAGAGTCCTTCTGTCGCAGTTATGCATGACTGCCACTACTAGAACATTCTTCTCTTCTGGCAAGCAGGCTGGATTTCCACATTTCCTTTCTCCTGTTTCCATAGCATTACACTGATCATCCTGATTACTATTTCTCTTCATTAAATGATCATCTGCTTTTGCCTGATCATCAATCCACACAGTTGGGGTCTCTGGATTTATACTAAGATCCATTCCATTAGCACAATGATCCCCCTCTCCTCCTGTTGGAGTGGTGGTTGAATGGGTCAGGGAGAAAGACTTTAATCTCTGTTGACACTCATTAGGAATTGAAGCTTCATGCACGCTGGACAGAGCTGGATTACATGACAGCCGATGAGAAGGGGGATCTAGAACCTGATTCCACTTTGCACCCAATAATGTAGGTGAAACAGCATCATCTGAAAAATTAATAGTTTAAATAATGACTATATTATAATCCATCACGGTGACACAACTCCCCCAGCTCTACTTTATAGGATAGTTAACCATCCATGGTTCCTATAATTCTTTTATATAACAAAAGTACTCCTAAACCAGAAATGCATACATGTCTGAATATGGACACAATAGCAAAAGACCACTTACTAATACTTAAGTATCCAAGATCAACATCTAATGATATAATTGCACAGAGTTTCTGGAAAATAACATCTTTAGGGCTCTGCGACCAGTCAGTTGTCCAGTTCTATTCTGAACAGGCAATTCTAAATTGATTGATTAATACAATAAATAGAAAGGGGGAGGGGACACAACACAAAAAATCCTCGGTTACCTCCACAGTAGGAGGGAGGAAATTAGAGCACACAGAGATTTTATACTTAGAATATGATCGTCTTCACTCTAGGATTTATGTGCAGTGGCATTTTTGTCAGGGTGCTTAGTTCTCCCAATATTGAAGAAGAATGTTTAAATAACTGTTTTCATAGAATTGTTAAAAACAAGTTACATCAATATTTCTATTCCTATTAGGTTTTGTAAAACCCTATACTTTACACAAGCTACAATTCTAACAATATCCCTTTAAAAATTTTCTACATCAACAGTTAAATATAAGCCACCTCACCACTGATAATACAGGTAAATAGAAAATGATTATGAGATGCTGTCCTCGGCTAAGGAAAACCATGTAAAATTCACAGGTGGCTTTGCAAGTAATGAGATCAGTTTGCAATTCATGAAAATTAAAAGGATGTTACACTACCCTGCCCCACCTATGGTTTTCTCTGTGTAATGTCAAGCACATGCATCTACAACCTTTTTACAAAGTCACTCACCTTCATTTTGTTCAAATTCATCTAAAACCTTATCGAGGTTATATGCCTCTGCTTGGAAATAGTTCTCCATTTGTCAGAAAATACCATCCAGTTCCTTGTCTGAACCTGTCAAACAGAGACCAGATTAGCAACAGGTATTCAAGATTCAGTTAGCAATATTCCATTATCCATTCCATTTATTTACCAGGAGAAAATTCCCTCAAATATATTCAAAATGTAGGTAAATTTAACGTATTGCACACACAAATTGAGGGCTTGTTCTGATGATCAAAATTATTTCTGCACTTGAATTAACCTAATCCTAATTAGCTGCTTCCCCATCAAGATAAATTTTGATTTTTTTAAAACTTGGCCACCTTCAAAGTTTACAAATAATGTCAAAACATATATGCTTTAAATTTTAAGACAAGTCCAGATTTTTTTAAAATAATTAACTACCTAAGAGCATGTGAAATGTAAGACACTAAAAACCAGCATACTGACAGAGCAAATTTACATGTAGAATTTGTTGATGTGGGCCAGGTGGCTGAAGCTCCAATGTTGTTAACAGTTGGGAGAGGACATTTCATTTTCATATGCTGGCTGTCAGAGCAGGTGAAACTATTCTAATCAGATGAATGGAAAGTATACTAAGCCATTTCAGTCTGCAAGTGTAAGTCATTTCATAGTACACTTCATTCCATACCACACCACGTACAAGGCATTATATGCAAGACTGTCTTTCAGAGATACAGAAATAAAATGTTTCATGAAATCTAAATGGAAGAGAGATATTTTTCTGTAGGGGTGGCAAGAAGGAAGTGCCCTTTTTTTCCATGTTCCAAACCACCCAGATTTTTCCCACCACAATACAGTGATAATCAAGAGGCGGAATCTTCCACTCTTATTTATTGACAGCATTTCCATCTCAACTGATGAGCGGAGATATTTTTCAGCACATTATCAGTAAATCAAAAATCACACTATAATCATACGCTTTTGCCAACATGGCTCATTACTGATAGCACAACTAGGTGTTTCAAGGACCTTCTTAATATTTCAATTTCAAGGAATAAGTTAACACTGCTATCTACCCCACCATTTAAATGGATCAATCAAACCTGGTAAGCTAAACATTTAACCTGGTACAAGTTTCAGATATCAAAGGTAGTGGCAGTACAAGCTTCCCCATATTGCCTCGTCTATGTGGCTATCCCAGAAGACCCTCAGAAAGGTGAGACTCGCTTTCAACGGTAAGCATGAGTTTGACGGGATTTCTGTAATACTTGCATTACCACCATGTCTGCTGTAGATGTGAGAACTCCCACATTCAACACACAGGCCATGGAAAAGCAACACCATCTAATGAACGAGACGCTCAACTGATAGTCTGAAGTTCAGGATTTTAGTCTCATTCTGCCACTGGACTAGCTATATGGCTTTGGACAAGTAATTTAATATGTCCATGCCTCTGTTTCCCTATACATAAAATACAGATAATACTTAATTCCTTAGCCCCCTTCCTCCCAGAGGTAGTGTATGAATAAATGTGAAATGCTCTGACACAATTGTTGAGTTGATTCTAGTGATTCCTAACAACATAAGTTAAGGTAAACACCCCCATTAAAAGATCGTCTCAGGGTGGAGAGGAAAACAACATGGGAAGGATAGATAAACTGAGTCATTAAGGATATTTCTTCAACTTAACATAACCAGCCAAGTGACACTTTAGCTCTAGCAGCACAAGGAATATGATCTTTTTGCTAACAATGGTTGCCAGCACTGAGATGCGCTGATCTAGTTCTGAAAACATTTAAATTCCCAGCACAGACATTTTCTCTGTTACAGAGTGCATGCCATAGCTTGCCTACTGTATATGGGGCCTTTGATTTGACCTATTCCTTGGAAATCATCTGAAACAAAAGGGAGAGAAAAGGTCTTATTCTCCTCAGGACTTGTTTTCAACACTGTGTGACGAGGGGAAAAACAGTCAGGGTATGTCTATACAGTCGAAGTTCAAATGTGTACATCATAGTTAAACAGCCCCTCAGCCTGAGCCCCACCAGCCCAAGTCAGCTGGCATGAGCCAGTCGCAAGTATCAAATTGCAGTATAGACACACACATAGCGCCTGAGAGGTAGATTCTGGCTTCATGAAGCTGCAAGGTTTAGGGTCTATTGTCCATGCTACAAATACAACTGAATCAGGAAACTAATTACAGCAGGGTTGCAATCTGAAGTTACACTTCATCTTAACCATGCACCCTACCTTGTTTACACCAGGAAAATGCACGTTAGAAAATATATTGACTAACACGTTTTAACTACCACAGTGTTAAACACAATTTTTCCTTTAGTTTGAACAAAAACAGTTGTGTTTAAACACAGGTCAACCAGCAATAATGCAAAATTAAGGGTGAGAAATCAAGCATTCAAATGTGAGGATATGCAGATTTAAATGTTTTTAAGCTCAACCTTAACTTTGCCTCCTTGTGCTTATACCTTGACATCTGATTACACATTATTTATCAATATATAATAAAATGGAAATGTCTTATTTTTAAGTCTCAGTGACATCTACAACACAAATCCATTTTAAAGAAAATCAGTTCAATAGTTTTGAAGTTATGAATTGTATTAGGCCCCATCACAAGCTCATGTTAAAAAACAGGGACCAGATTCACTGATGGAATCCAAAGGGTCTAAAGAGCAGCCTGATCTCACCTGGCATGGGGAAGTCCCCAAATTGTGAAGAGTGAGTGTAGCTACACCATCTCCCAACAAGGCAGTTAACTGGGATGGGAAGGAATACAGACAGGATGCTACTGCATTCCAAATATTTTCTTCTGGCAGATGGTTCCTTTGGGGGCTATAGTCAGCCATGTACTTTAGAGCAGCCTAAAGTATTTCAGGGCCAGCACAGAACCAACCCCAGAGTCAGGGAGACACATCTGCTCCTTCTTCCCCCCATGCCAACTGTGCCCAGCAAAAACTTAAATATTTGCAAGCCATAATTAACGTGGGTTAGATGGCCACTTATGTAACAGCAAAATAAACTATTACGGGTCAGGCATTAACACTAATTATGTTTTCTCTCCTTTGTTTCTCAATGAGAAAACTACTTAAAACAGAGACAGAATCCAGAGAACAGTCCTCTCCAGATTATGATATCGTGAAATGTGGAGACTATACTACTTGCATCTAAAAAAATTAAATAAAAATTCAGCAAAATCTCAATTCATGCAAAATTACTACATCAAAATGTTAAGTGGTCCTGAAAGGAAATTCAAAGATAAGGCTAGATCCCGGGCCTTAGCCCTCCCAAATCTGCCCATGTGTATTATACTGTGTATGGCTGTAAGCTCATCCACTGTTGCAAGGCATACAGCTAGATGACTAATCATATCATTTACAATACCCAGGCATACAGACAACAAGTTGAGTGATTTTACACATAGCAACATTAAGTGAAGCTTTGCTTTCAAGAGTTTGAGAAAAGTTCAGCATTTTTCATTTGATACCATATTGGCTTTCTCCGAGCAGCTAAAGTCTTTTGTACAGATTTAGAGATTTTCTAAAATGCCAGGTTTACATAGCAGACTAGGACAGCTTGTATTCATGAGTCCCTACGGACACTTACTGCAAATCAGCAGATTATTAGGCTGCCAGGCACACCTAAATCCATGCACTCAAAATGCTTCATAACATTTTTCATTCAAATAAATGATTGCAGAATACAGCATTTGCATTTTTTAAATTAGCTGTTTCCTCCCTAAATACACAAACACTAAATTAGTGCACTTTAGAAATAAAACAGCTTGCAAAACTTTAGTGGTTCTCTTGCATCTTTTCCTCCCTTTCATTTTGATGCCTTCACTCAGAGGATCCCACCAAACTCTCGAAACACCTACCTTTACCTTGTGCACCAAAACACCATCGTCTTAATACATATTCCTCCTTAAAAATAGGCTTCTTCCACAAAGCCTTCTAAAAGATGCTCAACCAAAATTAACTCAACTACATCAAGGTTGTTATTTTATTCAAAGTATTATACTGTACATTTCACATCTACACTGTTTGTATTTAATTTAGAATTTTGGCAGGGGCCCAATCAGGCAATCAGTTACACACCTGAGAATAGTAACTTCTTCAGCAAAGTCCTACTGAGGTCAATTAGATTCTGACCAAAAGTACTAGCAGGCATTTGTAGGATTGAGCAGTTTGAAAGGCATCAGACAGGATTCCTGTGCTCAGTAACAATGTGAACCATGATGCTGTTTGAAACCACTCCATTCAAATTACTTTCCTGCTGCTTAAAACATAAAAAGGGCATCCATAAAGGAATTCTCTAGCATAAATATATAAACTTTTTTGTAAGGACACTCAAGTGAATTGGACGGCAAGCACTGATTTATGTAAACAGAGATACCAACAATCATTGTGACCTATTGGTTTTTGAGGCAGAAGGAGGAAGATGGAAGACATACACTACACTGATTACATGGCTTTGAAAACATTTTTAAAGAGTGAAACATCTCTTTAGGTTTCTGTAATTAACACCACATGCAGAAAAATGTTTCTGGCTTAAGAAAAAATCAAATCTGATCACTCATTCAGGTCATTTTTCAGCACAGAGTACATTTTTGGGGTTCATTTTAAGATTCCTGAAAACAGGAGTTTAATATGCACACAAATATATCTGCATTGGTATAATTAAAATTTAAATTAGATTATTTTTCCCTCCCTAATCATGCCTGAGTTTTGCCCATCACGTGATTTATATTGGCTGAAGTGACAGCGAAGAACAAGCTGAAGAACAAGGTCACACACAACTAGAGAAAGCAATTCACTTTAAATGGCACTATTTTTATTGATTTTAGTCTCTCTCAAATAGCAGGTGCTTTACAAATGTTAGAAAACAATATCCAATACAAAATTTTACATCTTCAGTAAATGCATGGAACTGTCTATACATCAATAATAAATCAAGCCCACAAAATGACTACTCCTAACACTTTATAGCCACTACCCTGAAAGTCTTACACAACACAGTCCAATTAATGTTTTAAAATAATTACTTTATAAACTTTATGGAAAAAAATCTGTATATTTTAATATTTTTAATGG